GCCCATTTAGTTGGGGTCTTATTTTCCATCATTGAAATTTGCATTGGGTTTTAATGAAATACCTAAATGTCCTTCACCACTTTATCAAAGCAGTAAGAAAAGTGGTCTTTTCTCTCTGTGCCCACCGTGCTCCTATTACCAAAACACATTACCCTGGCACACAGCCAGCAGCAGAACAAAAGGTTTGGTTTTGTTCTGCCAGGCAGGACAACAGCAGGATCTGGCACAAAGCACAAGCCAGCCAGTGCAGCCATGGTGCAAGAGGCTGCTCAGCTTTCCAGTCACTCTGCCCAACAGCAGCCTTTGTTTCTGTGCTGCTGTAGGGGAATAAACCTTCAGGGATTTTGCATATGACAGCTAGAATGAACGCCTGCAAACAGAGCAGCAGACAGCAAGCAAGGTACAGGAGTCACCTTACCAGAGAGCCTGGGGGCATTGTCAGCTGGATGGAGAGCAAGACAAAGTGGGCAAAGTAACAGATTGGTTTGGCAGCTCCTGCAGTTAACACACACACTGGTCCCAATACCGTGTGTTTGCATTTAATGGCTTTCATGCTATTTGATTTTTAAAAAGTCATACTGAACTACTGAGCTAGAGCAAACCTGGGAATAGCAGAAAACACTGTCAACATGCTCAGGGTGCGTTTCCCCTTCTGCCCAGGCAGCTCGCAGCCACTGCCTCCTGCTGACACCACTTCGGCAGCCCCTCCCCAGCCGCTCCCAAGGCTGGGGCTCCCCTCTGGTGTCAAAGGAGTGCTCAGAGCACGCAGTGCTTCCAGCCCATCTTCGTGGCTGCTTTACTAAAACTGCATTCACGGCCTCTCATGCAGAACCCAGAGCTGGGGAGTTTTACACAGTCACAGATCACAGAATATTCTGAGTAGAAAGGGACCTATGAGTGTTTATCCTGTAGCAGAAGTGAGACACACTGTGTGAAAGTCATCACTATTTCAAGTCTGTCAGATCTGTTTTTCCTGTCCTAAACACTGATGTTTGTCTCTCCACATATCTGTGAATATGCTTATTCCACCTATTCTTACCAGCATCTTAGGTAAGCAGGGAATATTGACTACCCTGACTGCATAGCCCCTGTAGATGTTGCTCCTCTGTGTATTAGGAGAGGTCATTAAAATTTATTTTGTCACTGTGTTTTAATGTTGATCAAGATTCTTATTTCACTTAGACTGGTTTTTTAAAACTGTTTTGCCCTTCAGACAGCTTAAGGATACAGATTACTTCAGAGTAGCAAACAATACAATACTTACCTAAGTTTGATCCATATTTAGAAGTAAGGAGGATTTTTTCCATAATATAGGCTGCTTGCTGCCCACTTTTGCAGGGGATGCTAGCCTGAACATCTCACTGTAAACATTCCATAGCACTATAAGATAATAGCAGGGGCAGTTCCAAGAGCACATTTGCAAAACAAAAAGGCTGAAATAGGTCAGTGTGATGCTCCATTTGCTTTTCAATCCTAGATAAAGTGTAAGAGTTTCAATCCCAAACTGCACAGAGCCAGCCAGAGGCACAAACCAATAGCAACACAAACACGCCACCCCAAAACAAAGGGAGAGCCTTTCTAGTAAGCCCTAGAATCCAGTCATGCATCACTGAGGTCTGTGCTGGCTGTTTTCATATGCATCAGGAATTGGGATTTTCAGTTTCTAATGGCAAAAGCTAAAAGAGTAAGAGCAAAGGGAAAAACTAGAGAAGATTCAGAGAGTGCTGACAAGCATAAAGACCAGAAAGAAGCAATAAACACACAGTAATTAATATGAAAAAGAGCCCGTGACACAGTTGGTCTGAGCTGAGTGACAGGGAAACATGCTGTAAACAAGGAATATTTAAAGGGAGAAAAAATTGTGTAAATGTAACTGCTCTACATTTTTCAAGTAATAGTTACTTAAAACAACTGAAAAAGTGAGCTGCACTCTGCGCTGGAGCCCTGAAACACAAACAAAGAGAAATCTAGAATGACTGGATCAGCACACTTCAGAAACAAGTTTTTAAATACACCTGCTAAAATTTAATTTTTGCAGTTATAAGGCTCCTGGCTGACAGTTATAAGCCACTCATAAATCAATGAAAAGTATATTTTGAGCAAGCTGGCAGAAACCAGACACTGCAGAAAGGTTCAGTGAACAACTTAGAGTTGCCACTTCCTTGGCCAACAGAAATGTATAATCCTCTTCTAAAGAGGGCAGAGCAAGACATTTTAACATAGTTCTCAAAGCTACCAGATCCTATTTCATTAAAGAGATGCATTTAAGATTTCTACACTCAAACCAAATTACTGGACAAAACAGATACAGGGGGAGCAGGGAACTTGAATGAGTGCAGGACTGTAAAGGACTTGAAAGCAAGCAGCCCAGTGGAAGATTGGGCCTATAGGGAAAGCATCCCTGAAGGATAATTCCATGCCCAAGAGATGACTGTCCTGAGGCTGCCTCTATATCCAGAGGAAAGCAGCTTGTCTAGAGCACTGATCAGGGCAGTAGCCTTGGCAGGGGCTCTGAATCACCCATTTTCCTAACCACAGGCCTTCGAGAGTGTCCTCCTAGTCCATAAGACACCTGCAATAAAAGTTACTGACTTATCTGATGCCACTTCTCCATTATAGCTGAAAAAGGATTTGGCAGAACATAATAAACAAGACACATGGCCTGTACAAACATGGCTGGAAAAAGGGCTTCAGCTTCTCAGAAGCATTAGGGAATGTTCTCAAGAGTATCTACCAGGTCAGTTGCTCAGAAGCATATGATGAAAATGGCTGGACTACAAAGAAACCTTAGAGAATCAAAGTGAGATATCAGAGTAACTCCAACAACAGTCTTTATGAAGATAGTCTGTTGTTGCTAAAAAAGTTTGCTAAAAAGCACAGAATTGTTTCAAGTTCTAAGTTTGGTATGATAAGACACAAAGTGAGTTATTTTCATTTCTTCTTCTGAAGCTTTCAGGCAATTTTCAATGGGCAGCTGGATCTCCATGGATATTTCAGCAATAGCTATGTCCACTCAATTCATAATTTAAAGAAATACAGTTTTAGTTCCTGAGCACATCCTGCTGAGCATCTCATTAACACCCTGCCAAGAGCATGAGAGAACAGTAACAGCCTTTCACAGGAAAATTCAGAGTGCATCAGCTGCAGCATGAACTTGGGCTGTTGAAAAGCTACTACCTGGAACAGAAAGCAGCCCTGTTTGTCAAGGATGACATATGGGAGGTAAATAGGCCAGGTAGAGGGAAGTTTACATCACCTCTGCCAGCATAAGGCCAAGTTTTAGTCCATGCTTATTTCCTCAGACCTGGCTGAGGCATGGAACCCCAAACCTTGCCAGCTGGGGGGTCTGAGCACACAGGTGTGTGTTATTTACAGTAAAGGCAAAGTGGGGTTATGATACCTCCAGAGTGTCCGTGACTTACCACAACTGGTCTGCAGTTCACAACCTTTCACAGTTTAAAGCAGATGGACAAAACTCAAATAGACTCAACAAAGGCAAAAGGTGTGAACCCACAAAACCAACTTAGACCCCATGCTTGAAGCAATCTATTTAATATCGCAGTACTTAAACTCTAATTTACCCTTCCTGATCTATGAAGTCTGGAATGCAAAAGACCAAATTCAGACATCATCTCCTGCATCCCCCTGTGCCATTTTTGAGGCAACACTTCCCCTCTGAATTTTTCTTTTGGTTCTGCAATGTGCATGTGTGACCTCACCATTTGCCTTTTTTCTGAACCAGGACCACCCCTCATTCACTTCAGCAGAATACCTCTTCCACATTGCTTGGGACAGGGACCAAGGTTCCATCTTTTGAACTGCATCCTAATATGTTTAAAATCAGCTAAATAGAACCAAAGTTACAAATCATGAGCATGGCTTGTGCTACTCATCCTTTGTATCATGTCAAAGTTCAGAAGGAATTGTCTCATGTCTTCCTTCTGTGAACTGCATTTAAATCAAAAGCAGCACAACCTAGGGCACATTAATGAGTAGAAGGAAGAAAGCACTGCTACTGTAAGAATGGGTTAACACCCTTCTTCCTGGCAGGAAGGAGAGTACTAATTCAGAATTCTCCTCTGAGTATTTCACTTTACTTCTTTGTGCTGATGGGTTAATTACACAGTCCCTCCACACTCAAAAATCCTGGAGCTTTTCACCCTGTCACAAAAACACTGCACATGTGGAGAGAACTGCTGCCAGCTGCAAGCTCCAGAGCCTATCACACAGACCCCTCTGGCTCCAGGCATTATTGTCCGTTTCAAACTCGATGACTACAAAACATTTCAGGAATCATCCAGGTGGCTTCATCAGCAGTGCTGGTGCACACGTGCTGTGTGCTGGTTTCCCTCCAGAAAATGTCATGTTACGGGTTCTGTGGCCTCAACCAGCTGACCAGTCTGAACAGAAAAAGTACACAGGTCATTCCTGCTACATAAACAGAAAGCATCCCTACAGCACATCAAACTCCTCTGCGGAGAGCCCACAATTCTTGGTGGGTTTTCAAGATACAGGTAGTGGCTTTCCAAGGCTTCTACTGTCTGGATCCCAGAAACAACTGGAAAAGCAACTCAAGAGTTCAGCCAATCTGTTCTCCCAAGCTGATCTGACTTAGAGGTGACAGTAACAACCCAGTGCAACATGACTGCACCTCTTATAAAGAGCTAAAGCTGTAATCCTTCCAAGTGGCAAATCACACTCTCTGAGGTGGCTGGATTCAACTATGGACAGCAGACAGAACTGTGCACAGAGCCGGTTCACCAAAACACACAGATGTGTGCTTCAGAAATTCCAAACAGACACCAAAAAGCCCACTTACATTCCAGGTAGTATTAAGAGGCTTTGTAACGGATGCAATACATTAATTGACTGAAAATGGACACATACTTCTGGTCAGTTAGCAAACCAGTATTTTTATACGTGTTTTCTTTTGGATATATGAAATCCTGTTGAAGGTTAAAAACAATAAAACCAACCACAAAATCAGGCAGACACCTAGATACAGCTTCCTCTCAATTTGTTTTATTTGGCAAAGTAGCAATTCAGACAGTTCACACAGCATTTATTCAAGCTCTTCAAGTCTTCTGCATTTCAACTTGTCCTTGTCTCCAAGTTTTTTACTTCAGAACCATTGCTCCATCATGGAGGAGTTTCCATTTTCAACTCCTAAATGCTACTCCTGGATCCTCCTTTCTGTCCGAGTACCTTGACTGTCATCAGCCCCTTCAGTGGAATGGGTGCACTAATCCCACCAGCCTTGGTCCCTGAAGTCTTACACCTCCTGAAGTGGTTCTCCCCCAGGAAGCTGTCATTGGGTCTCAGCTTAACACCACTTCCAAGTCAGGCTAGCTTATTAGACTGTGTCCAGAGACAGGAATTTGGATACAGTTGAGCTCATATCTTTCATTTAACTGATTAAATTAGTGAGAAGATGTAAATAAAGCTGAACTCAAACTGAAAGATACAGCGACCAAAAGGTTGAACGTTAGCATGCATCAGTTATTTCACTTCAACACCAAGAACTAGAGTCACAGTTGATTGTGGGTTAGTACAAATTTGTCAGACGCAAGTGGATTTTTCTGGATTGTATTTTCTAGAATATGCACTATATTAATTTCTTTATAAGATTAATCTTGTGCATGTGCTCCCAGGCTGCAGTCAGATCAGGAGGTGGTACATTAACTTCCAAACATCTAAGTAAATTAAGTCCTATAGTATCTTCCACAGAGGAACAAAATGGGGCTGGGCCTTCCAAAGGCAGGTTATTTAAAATGTTCCTTTTCCATATTCAGAGGCCTTTGAATTATAACTTTATGCTTTCAGGGATTAATCCTATCACAAAATTATTGCTCTTCCACCATAGGAAGTTGTTTTGGGTTTTTTTCCAGTGATCACTATGGGTTGTTTTATTCTATAATCCTTCCTATCATAAAAAAAAAGGATAATATGCTGTTTACTTTAATTCTGGGTCGCTCAAATATGAGCAAGATCACTGAAGACACACTTCCCCCCTTTCCCAAAGCAGCCCACCTTAGTGTACTGCTTCCTAATTTGTCAACATTTTATAGTACCAGAAGACAAAACTTACATCAGAAAAAAAGGTTTAGAGCCTTCCAACTATTCTTCATTCATCAAATGGCTTTACCAGAAGCAACTTTGCTTTTAGGACCAAAGGGGGTTTTGGCTTTTAATAAAGAACCTAGCAATCCGTATATCAGACTACCTACCCATCCTAATCTTCCACACAAGCACAAAACCCCCTTTTGCTTTTAAATTTGCTTGGCAAAGCTGCATTGTGTAAATTGTTCAGTGATTGGAACACAGCTCAACTCACATTTATGGAGTTAGCTCCATGTGTATCACATCAGCACTGAGCTATAAACCACAACAGAATTTAAAGCTTACATTAATCAGTTTTAGAAGGAAAGGGAAAACCATGTCTGTTATGTCCAGCTTGAACAGAAATGTTTGATAGGAGCGGCCACCTACCTCTGATGTCTTGAAATTTAATATATACAAATGCCTGGTTTAAAGGTAAAAAAGCAGCTGATTGTATCTACTACATGCTAGTCTATGACACCATGTCAAAAGCTTAGAAAGGAAGTTCATCTCCTTTTAGTAGCATCTAGCAGACGTTGGAACACAGAAAACCTGGTATTACCTACGTAGTGTCGTAAGGTGCACAGAAGCGTTTTACCAAGGGACACAGGAGCCGAGAGAAGTGAGTGTTCAAGTTCCCCCATCAAAATCAGAGTTCACAAGCTACAGGTCTTTCTCTGCAGTTTTGCAGAAATTCACTTTGAACAGATAAAAGTGAAATAAAGGCATGTTAAATAAAACAGTGCCCACATAAAACTTTCCACCATTTCTTTTTCAGATTTGCCTTGAGCATCTAAAAAAATAAAACAAACACCACGCTTTTCCATGCTGATAACAACAGTATAACGAAGTCCAAAACAAGCTGCAATGCTGTTGGTTTTCAAAAAGCTTTTAGAACGGGAGATGAGCAGTCCACTGTAACACTATGTTTGGGTCAAGATGATGTAGCTTTTACAATTCATCCCTGTAGAAAGAAAACACATGCAGTTATGTTTCTTCTCCCCTTGGAAATGGTATTTGAAAAGTTTTGATATTGAATCAGGTTACATTTAAGTGCTCACGCACATCAGCAAAACTTTAGAAATCTCTTCAAGCATTTGAGAAAAAAAAAACAAACACCAAAGGAAAGGCAACAGCAATCCCATATCATCTCATACTACTTTGTGACTTATTGTGAAATATGGGTCCTTCTACATTTAATGGATCACTTGGTTTAAGGAAACCCCCCCATATTGCACAGCTACTAACACAGCTACCTGCCATCTGTATTCTGCTGGCTATACACTGGCAAGCAACTGAGCCAACTTACTAGACAGAGTATTGGCAAAACCCATCCTCTGTAGCTGCCAAAAAGGCAAGTGTAGCTTCTGCTGCAGTCTCTCAAGAAAGTGGAAATACAGTCTTGCATCCCTGTTATGCAGACTGTACCAGTTAGTTTCTTTATTTCTCAGAGGAACTCGATTAGCTCCTGAAGGAGCTACAAGAAATCAGGAGTGGGTTGTGGAAAGGCTGGGGGCAGGGCAGTGTGTGTGAGCTAAAAGGAGATTAGTTAGGAGAAAGGATGAATCAATAAGTCTCTCTAAACCACTGAAAGCAATCTAGAAAATGCAGAGGTTTGTTCCTGTAGGACATTTAAAACACATTGAAACAAGAAACCCATAGAACCTATATTCCAACCACAAAGTGATCATATAGTAGTGATTTGTTTAAGTATTTCTAAAGCATTAATTTTAATGCAAAACACCCATCAAATCTGAAAGCTGTGCACTCTGTGCCACTCTGAGCACTGGAAAACTCAAAGAGAAGTGTTTTGCCTCTTTTTTTTGACAAGGCAGAAGCAATCTATAAATTCAGAATGAATTTGCTGCAATTTTTCTTTTAGTAGGTGCATCAGCCTCATCAGCTGAAGCATACAGTGTCTGAATTAGAAGAAAAACTCAGTAATGTGATTGCTGGCTCAATACACAATAGTGTTTCCAGCTATCATGCAAATTAACCCACAAAAATATAGTTCTACATGCACACATACAAAACCTTTACGTTTCAAAGACATTATGCTCCAGGAATCATACAGCATGGAATGACAGCATGCAAAACATTTTAAAAGCAACTGAAAAGGCTGTAGAAACTAGTGCTTAAACGACTAGTTTTCTATCTAATGCAGCTGGGATGCAAACATTGTGATTTGTAAGTGATAAATATTTGCATTCTTTGCACTTTGCACTGCCTCCTAATAGTAAAGTACTAATCATACAGCTTTAGAGCACTGCAGTAATTACACACAGCAGAAAAAAGCAGGAGGTGGAAGAACACATCTTGGCAGGGATAAAGAAAAATCTGTTTATAGCTAAAGGTTTGGAAGCTCCCCGTATTTGCCTGTCTCACAGAATGGGTATTGCTTACTTTAAACAGAGAAAAAGAAATGAACATCTGATACCCAGTTTAAAATGCAGTGCCAGTGAATTCAGGACAAGTGCTTCATTCATCCCTAACACTTCCAGGAGCTGCATCATCAGTTAATTTTTACAACTTCAAGAAGTGTGTGTAAGTAATGACTACTGCTGTTGCTGGCTGAGTCTCATACGCCTAATTGTGGGTGTGATTTTTATCCTGATTCCTACCACACACTCACAGCTTTATAAAACCCTGCTCTTCTACTGTGACAAGCAATTCATAATCCTTCAAATACAAGGCAGATCCTCAAGAAACTGTAAGCCTAAGAAACATTCTGTATTTACCTTGAAACTATTAAACACAATGATTCCACCTAGCCACAGATGTTAGCAGGGCTTTTGCAAAATGTTGCTAATGCATTTAAGGTGTTTAAAGTGTGGGGTTGTTTTTTCTTTTCCAAAATGATATTTTTACTTAAAACATGTAAGTATTATATAACTATATAATTTAAAATAAATTGTATTAGCATGGCAATGTTTTAATTGTTGCTATTTTTCATTCCTTTAACATATTCTTGACCACTACATCCTGTATGACATTCAAAATAAGGATTTTCATATTTTATTTTTAGAACATTTACTGTATTAAGGGGATCAGCTTTCCTCAAGAGGTTTTTCACTTGCTCTTCACTAGTCATTAATCTAACAACACATGCCAGCCCAAACCAATCCCTGATATAAGTGTTAAAATTATACAGCATTTATTTTCTACAGATAGAAGTTGAATTTATATGTTCATTATTGGAATGTATATATTAGAAAGTGGCAGAAAAGTCTCAGATGGCCTGATAGGTAACAGTTGTCAGCTTTCTTCCTAAGGTAGCACAGCTTGCAGACATAAATACATATTACAAACTAGCATCAGCTCACCTGAGCTGATCCTGTATGGATCAGAAACTGCCAAGCTATGAAATCCACCATGTTTCAGCGACTGGTAAGAATCAGGATAATTATCCTATCCTCTCAGTGGTACAACAAAATCTGTCCTGCTGCAAAGCTTAAAAGGAGACTCAAAAGATTGCTCTTTCCTTGTTAAAGCTATCCTGTTGTCCTCTAGAGCCACAGAAAAGATCTACTGATTTGTATTCTTTCTGGCCACAGCTATTTACTGTGACTCTTACACAACTCACGTAATTTCTCTCCACCTTCATATATGCACTCCTTCCAATCTGCTTACCAGCTCCTGCTTAGCAAGCAATATATATATTTAGGGTTTAAGTCACCACTGTAGTCCTTCTCAGGCTTTTGGAATTACAGCAGGAGAACCACTCATCTATCAGCTGAGATATCAAAGCAACTTTGTAAGCTCAAGTTAAAGCAAATTTCAGAAGTCATTAGCTTAAGGTTACTATTCTTGAAAAAAAATGTAAGAAAGTTTGAAAAATTTTTGCTTGCTACTAGGGAAAACATATACATGAATACTCTACACTTCCCATTATGAATATCCAACAAAAAAAACAAGAAAAATTCTAATGTGCAGCTTTTCAGGTAAATTACAAACTATAAAGAATCAATGATCTTATCAACAATACGTTTGGGATACAAGTAAGTCATGCAGCTTTGTGATCCCTCACTGCCACTTTAGTGAAAGGCATTCAAATTAAATATTTGAACAAACATTTATAAATCTATCAGAAATCTGTGTCTCACTCTTTTAGATCCACTTCAATTTTCTTGTCATTAGGCAGCATTTGACTTTCCCTTCTCAATACATAATTTATCTACGAAAAACATGTTGTCATTACTGAAAGTGAAATTCAGAGTGTAGCCTTTTATGAATTAGAAATACAGCATCAACTCAGTTTCAGCAGCCCATTATTTCTCACTTTATAACTTTAAAGATGCAATATTTAGACTTACAGCATTTTAATCTAGAAAGGTGCTATTATAAAATATTTATTATTTGCTATGATCAATCATAAAATTGAGAATAAATTGAAGTGATAAAGGATTTTAATTTACTGTATGAGGTATATCACATACACTTTTACATAATTGTATTGGGTTTTCCTGGCAAGGTTTTGGTAGTGGTGGGGGGGTGCTGCAGGGGGGGCTTCTGTGAGAAGCTGCCACAAGCTTCCTCCAGGTTCTACAGAGCCAACACCAGCTGGCTCCCAGACAGACCCTCCACTGGCCAACACTGAGCCAGTCAGGAATGGAAGCAACACCTCTGTGGTAACACATTCAAGAAAGAAAAAAGTTATTGTGCAGAGAAGAGCAGGGTGAGAACATGTGAGAGGAACTGCAGACACCCAGATCAGGGGAGGAGGGGCAGGAGCTGCTCCAAGTGCTGGAGCTGAGATTCCACTGGAGCCCCTGGTGCAGACCATGGTGAGGCTGGGCCCCTGCAGCCCATGGAGGATCACAGGGATGAGGAGATCCACCTGCAGCCCCTGGAGGAGCCCACGCTGCAGCAGGTGGATGCCTGAGAGGAGGCTGTGACCCTGTGGGAAATGTGCTGGAGCAGCCTCCAGGCAGGGACCTGCAGGCCCATGGAGAGAGGAGCCCACACTGGAACAGGTTTCCTGGTAGGACTCGTCACCCTGTGCAGAACCTACACTGGAGCAGGCTGTGCCTGCAGGACTGCATCCCAAGAACAGTGACCCACCTTGGAGCAGCTCATGAAGAACTGCAGCCCACAGGAAGGACTCACGCTGGACAAGTTCAGGGAGAACTGTGTCCTGTGGGAGGGACCCCACACGGGAGCAGAGGAAGGACCCCTCTCCCGGAGCAGCAGCAGGAAGAATGTGTGACTAACTGGCTGTAAACCCCATTCCTTGCCCCCTTGCACTGCTAGGGGGCAGGATGTGGGGCTAGGAAGGAGGCAGAAGGGGTGCAGGAAAGGTGTTTTGAAGGTTTGTTTTACCTCTCATTATCCTGTTTTGATTTTGCTTGGCAATAATTTCAATTAATATCCCCAAGTCAAGTCTAAACACTGAAATGAGGTTTCACTAAGCAACGGTATGCAAACTGCTTTATTTTGCACTTTGTATGAATATTGTGATAGGTTAGAGTGAATATTCATGTATTCAAATCACAAGCCATACTCCAAAATATCAAGGGGAAAAAAGCAAAAATCTAAATTTAGACTATGAAGCTCAAGAGTTGTTTTCAGAGCTCAATGCACATCTCTGCACTTCACTAATGCCAATAATACATTCACAAGCACTTTCTGCCAGGAAGCAAAACAGCACTGCTGCTTTGTTCATTCACATACTAATGCCTAGCATGGCTTAAGCTGACAGCTGCATTGAGTCTATTTATTTATTCATTTATTACTGGCTTTTCAATTCAGCAAACTGGAAGGTTTCCTACTTCTAGAAAGGCATTTAGTTTGCTGTATTGGCAAATACAAATACTGCCCCATCAGAGACAGATGACAGACTTCTAATAACATGTCTGGGAAAATTTTCTAAACACTACTCAACTACATTTATACTTGAGGGAAGAAGGAATTATCTTTTCTACTTTTTGCAACTTGGAAGCTAAAGGAAAAGCTTGCAAGATCATCTACATTTTCCACAAAGGATTTTATAAAGATTTTTCTTCATTTGTAGTGTTTCAGAAAAATAAAAAATGAACACCCAATTACCACTAACTTAAAGGACAAAACAGTATTTATTAAGTAAAATTTTACACTTCACCCTAATTATTGGGCAAAATAGTTATAAAAAAATCATTAAAAGTGAAGTTTAACCTTAGAAAATACTGTGTTTAAAACAACAAATAAGAATCTTCAAAACACCAAAGACTAAAGAAAACATGTCCAAAAAAGACAAAGTGCAACCCATGCAATATTTTTCTTCTGCTTTTAATTTAACTCAAACTTAGCATAACCTCCTTTGGGTGATGTAGTAATGCAGACTGAGTCACTTTTCATGGTATGGAGGAGCAGAAAGCAATGACAGCAGCAAAGGCAGGCCTTGCAGTCTATCTGCTTAAAATTCACACCCTTTCACCTTGCATGTGTGTGGAAGAAGTAAGTGGAACAGAAAATCACTTCCACCTGGACCACTGCTTCTCTTTATCTGTTAAAGGCACATATATCACTCCCATCAGAGGCTTCATTTTGACACTGCCATCTTCTAGTTTGTCATACTGTTCGAGCATCTGGTTTCCCCCAGCAGGGCCAACTGGTAATATCAATCTTCCGCCAGGTTTTAACTGGTCTATAAGCTAGAACACAACACAGAAATTAGAATGTAACCAGCCATTTCAGAGAAGCTGGATCCAAAGTTTGTTACAGTAGATTAATAGCTTTGCCATTATGTATTTATCTACTTTTATGCAGTAGATAACTACTTCCATGAGAAAAATAAAAAATGCACTGAAAATGAGAGTATCACAGCAACATGGTACAACAACTGGTATTACAGTAAAATAATTTAATTAACTGGGTAGGTTGCAGTTTTATTTTCTATATATGTGGGGGAAACATGTAAATCACAAATTATTTTTACAACAGATTCAATCTTTTGAAATTGTTTAACTGTTCAATAGTTATTGTGCATCAGTACAGGCCCATTGCCAAAAATTCTGGGGGTAACTGATCTCCCCTTAAGCCCTCAGAATAAGATTTGAGATTGGTGACTTTTCATTATTTCTCTTCCTGGAAAAATTTTGTCTACAACACACTCACTACCCAACAGCTCCTCTTTCATTCTGTGAATGGAACAGCCTTTTGTGAAACTAGTCTAAAATATATGAATATGACTACGATAAGTGACACGTAAACATAGTATGTGAGAAATGCTTGCATTTTTTTTCTATAGTTAAAGAAGGCTAATCACAGTAGTCTCAAGGAAAATTTCATACTTCCCAGACGTCATGAAAAAAACACACATTTAATCCCCATTGCTAACGAAAGTTATAATTAAGAATTAAGAACTGTTTCATTACAAATAACTTTTCCATTACTTTTTTAATTGTCAACTTTGTCAGTTTTGCTGGGAACATCCTCCCACACACCTCCACCAAAAAAACCAAAAACAACAAAAAACCTCAAACAACAAAACCCTAACAAATAAATCCCCCTCAAAAAAACAAACTAAAAATATAACCTACTTTAAAAACATTAAGTAAAAAAAAAACCCCACCACCACTGGTCATTGTTTGGAAATGTCCCATCTATCTCTAGCACATTAAAGCCCAGTCTTTCACTATCCCTCACTATGACTTAAAAACCTTAAGTGGCATCTAGCATATAGAAATCATGCTATGTATTACCATGTGCCTGTTGAAAGGAAGAGAAAAAAAAACTTATCTGTAAAAATGGACTATATGTATGCACACTCTAAAGCTCCTAGTTACTCTTCAGCTTCTCTAGTAAGAACTGCCCTGTATCCATTCTGAAACCTACGAACAAATAGCACTGTTTATACTTCCAGTTGAGCATTTTATTTTCAACAGACTCAGTGCTTTGGAACTTGGGAAACACACTTAAATTTTGTAACTCATTGTTTGATAAAATTGAATTATCTTGTTAAATAAAATGTTCCAGTTCATTGTTGTAAGAGATGGTTGCACACATGTCATTTTAAAATATGTTTATTTAGAGCAGAGTTATTAGAACATACAGCTTTATCAAACCAACAGGAAGCCCAATTGTAACAGAGACAAAAACCCCACACCATACAGTAATACCACACTGCCCACTGATACTCCCAGCAGTGCAAGCTACCAAGTATTTTACATATAGATGTATGCAAAGCACTCTCTACAGCTAAGATATTACAGAAACACACACACAGAACATAAAGGCTTACTGCTTGGGGCACAACTGGGGCTGCAGCTCCAACATGAATTGCATCATAGGGAGCTTCTTCTGCATATCCCATTCGTCCATCTCCCACTGCAAGAAAACACTATTTTTTAAAACATTTTCAAAAGGACTGACAAAACAGCTGGTTTCCCATATCTACATGTAAAAAAATGAACACATTTGGAAAATAAATGCAACAAAACGCCCTTATATGTGCATACACATGCTTATAAAACATACTAAATACTATTGAAGCATCTGAAATTAGAAAGCATGGATTTATAATGAAAATTCTGGCAAACACATGGTCCACCTAGAAAAGAGACTAAAGTATTGATGCTCCCTACCAATTCCAGTGCCGGTAAGTTTTCCCCCTCATTTACCCTCTTAGAACATACACTTTGTTTTGCCTTGTCTTCCTGCACACCATTCCTAAATATAATGCAAATCATAAGTCCAAAGCATTAAATGTCAGAAGCACATATTAGAAGACTCCAAAGGTGAGGAAAACACAAAGGCAGTGTTCCCATGGACTATATGCCTCCAACTGCACTACCAGTTGGAACAAAAGCCCACAGCTGTATGCATACATGAATGCAGTACTGCAGTAACCTCTGCACACCCCACGTTCCAGCAGATGGGCCTCACTATTCTCCCTGCAGACAATCACTGCTAGCACAGAGAGCCAGGTCAGATTTATGGCTAAAGCTCCAGGTGGCTGCTTGGAAAATGCTAGGAGCAATTAAGGTTTTCAGAGGTTACCAGTGCTGCTTGAGCTTTGGTGGAGAACTCATGGAGAAGCACTCTGTAACAAATGTCTCATACAATCCCAGTTATGCAGAAGGAAAGAGTAACAGTTTGGGGTTTTAAAGCCAATGAAATGTGACAAACTAAAATGGACCTTGAGTTAAGTTTTGAAAGAAGCCTATGTGAATATGGCATCCACAGTATTTACAGGAAAGCAACAGGAAATCAGAGCAAGTTAGGCAGGCTCTCTCTGGAGTTATTTAGAACAAATGTAGTAAATGAGGCTGAAGCATCCATAAATTCATACTCTGTGATTACAGAAGTTCCAATAATCAGTCAAGAAGAAAAAACATAGACGTTAGTGCTCTGATCAGCACAAGTAATTTGGGGCTTCCCATCTTTGGGCTGAGCTTTGACTTCTGTGCAAACACCAGTATCACAGGTTAATTGAAACTGAAAGTCAAAGGAAGTGCTACACCCTAGTCAGAGGCTGAAAATCTGTTAACTTTTTGCCTTCCAAAAACTCACAAGGCAGGAAAAAAGCATGGTCACCACAGCAGGTTTCACTTTGACCTCCATGATAAGGAAGGCCATCTGGACAGTAAGAGCACCCTTTGGTATCCAAGACAGTACAGGAAGACCTGGACAGCTCCTCAAAACAATTAAAACTGAAGTCTTGAGGTCCTGAAAGATGACCCTGGCTAGGACCTTTGCATCCACGCTCTTTAAAAAAGCACATTTCCTCAAATCTGAGAAGCCTCTTAGAGGTCAGTGACATAAATAGTGGTTAAATACAATCATAAATAATGACATAAATACAATCAATTCTGACCAGCACAAGCTCTAACCAAGGACCACAAGCAAAAGCTGCCAAGCAAGAAGTACCAGTGTTTCAAGAGACTTCCTCCCTATTGATCAGAATTTCCACTAAGTCAGATGGCAAGAGATCACCAGTAATGAAAGTTCCAGTATTTCCAGGGTGTAATCCTTCTGACTGCCAAAGTGGATCCTAGTGGAACAATCACCTCAATGCCACCAAATATGTAATTTATACTTATATCTTAATAGCACTGTACAACCCTTCTAAATAAGCAGCAATGATGTGTTACAAAATCAAGCTGCTGTTCCATCAGAGATAGCACCAGAGAAAGGTTTCTTTAGCTTATTCATACAGATATTGCTAAAAAATATGTTAGTAACACAAGGAGGCAGATCCTCATTCCCCAGGGTGCACAGCAGGCATTAGAAGCAGTGGTCTCCAGTATTGCTGGCAAAAGAAGTGATTGCCAAGAGGAAGAAGCAGCTGTGAAAGAAATTGCTGTCACTTCTGAAGAACACATGTATTCTGAGACATAAATGTCCCTAGTGCACTCTCCAGAGAAGTTGGAATGTGACTTCTGCACATCTTACCACTTCACTGACAGCAGTAAAACAGACCCAAAACCAACTAATTCCTTTGCTCTCAGAATTAATAGCTAACATCTTCAAAAACAGCACACATCCAAAGGGAAAAAAAAAATCATGCTCCTTCATATGCATCACACACAGCATGGCTCTTCCCTTCTAAAATTCACAAAAATTCTTATAGTTACAGAAGAAATATATCCGCCCACAATGGCAACACAGATTTACATACCCAGAACATTTAAAAATTAGTTAAGTTGGCATTCATATATTCAATGTCATTCAAATTATTATATTATTCAATGTTCAAGGGGAAAGAGCAGCCCAAATTTTCAGCCTATGTGTACATCCTGAATGTCCTCTATCCTACTCACATCTCCAGTTACATGCAGCCTGTTAGTAAAGTAATTGTGGTGGAGGGTGGCAGGTGGTGATGAGGAAAAAATGTCAGGACATTTTGATATAAAGGGTTCTGCAGCTTGATTATAAATCTAGACCTGATCTGCCAATCACAGTACCCAAGCCTTCAGTGCCTCTATGGAGACCTGTTTCACACAGAGCTGTAGCATGAGCACAGAAATAGAAGAAAATTACTTCCCTTAGTCATTTAGAATCCCTCATCCCCACTGACTATGGCTGCATCAGCAAATAGTGCAGTACAACAGAAGCAGATCTGTACAGCAAAAGTTTTTGCTGAGAACCTGGCATCCATGCAACATATGCATTTCAGGATAATCACTGCAGCCTAGATCTAAGTCTTATTGTCTTAATATGCACATATCAAACATATTTAGCTGCTTCTTGGAACACATAATCTTGTCTAGTTTCATTCAAAAGGAATAAAATGTTGTGCTTTCCAGGAGTACTCTCATGTGAGCCAAAGAGTGGAAAGTAGAAGCACTTGAGAGATTCACCTCAAAGGCTTCCTCCTGATATTAAGAGGAAACAAAATAAAAATCAAGTTATTAAAAAAAAAGCCAAAAGACCTGCAAACTAACAAAAAGACATGTTAATCCAAGTATACTTATTCCAAATTTCTCAGTGCAGTTCTACTGAGACACCCCAAAATAATTTTGGTGTTCCTGAAATGCAGTTATGGTATATGTGAGATATGTCAAAGCAGAGTACAATGTCTGAAGCACACTGTGGAAAGCCAGCAATTGACACACCTGGTCTTATTTCATACAGCTCCCATCATCAATCAACTGTTTTTCGTAACTTTTTTGTTTGTGTGTTTGGGATGGGGGGTTTTGGGTAGAGTTTTCTGTTGCTGTGTTTTTGTTTTAAATTAACAGCTGTCTGGATTCTTGCTCCACATCAAAGAGCTCTCAGGAATCCAACACAGTTGAAACATTGTTCTCAACCTAATTCACAGAAGTGTTACTTGCCCATCAGTACTTTTTTAAAATGTACCTCACAACAAAACTATCCAGAAGTCTCTTAGTCACCCTGCTACATAGTCAAAAATAATACAATGATGCTTACTTAGAATTCCAGACTTGCAAGACCTCCAGAGTTTGTTTCAAGAACAACCAGAAGCATAAGTCAAAATTGCTTTTGTACAACATCAATGGAATTTATTTCTTCATTCCCCCTCTACAGCCCCAGCAGTCTAACTTCTTTTCCAAGAAGTTCTGAGACATAAGTGTTCTCAGTGAGATACATTGCATTTTATACATGTGTACATGTTGATAAACTCATTTAAAAAACATTTAGAAAAGTCCCTCATTTACAAGAAAAGACCAAGAATCAAAATGGTAGTTAAGCTAAGAGCCAAACATCACATAATAATCATTTTTCCAAGTGTTCTTGTAAGAAGCCTCAAAAAACATCCAGCCCTTCAACCTCTTTTTTTAACTTAGTGAATAGAATGACACTTTCCTCTTGCCAGCCTTGCATATTCTAAGAAAAACAAACAATAACTAAACAAAAAATCCCAAACAAACAAAGGGAAAAAAAAAAATCTTTTTTTTTAAGTAAAAAACCCTTTATTTAAAATAATTCACCATCCTGCTATCATTTGGACATTATTTCCTCTCAGTTACTCTAACTGAATTAATGTACTTTGGTGTCAATCACTTCTCTAACATCTAACTGTCAATTTTAAAAACAAGTTAAATAAACATCTGTGGTGCATACTGCCAATCTACTTCTTTTTCCACTTGAATCTTCACATGCAGCTTTCTCAACCACCCTATCAGAAGTGTGAAGGCTTTGTTAAAACACTCAAATTCAGATGACAGGGTATTTATTCAAGAACAGATGTGAATTCAACCCCAATTTTAAATATCAAACAGAACATGACAGACTTTCAGCATGTATTTTCACAAAAAAACCACTCCCCAGTTAACCTTTTCTAGTAGAATGATTATATAGTCTTTGAGATCACCAGAAGTCATAGTCTGAAAACTGGGGGAAGATACTGATTTTCAAAGGCCTAAAGACAAATTTTAAAGTTTTCATTTGGCTTCTCTTTCTTGGGTTCGGCTTATTAAATTCAAACTTTTAATAACATCCAATTCAGTCATTTTCAACCAACTGCTAGAAAGAATATCAGTTTAATTAGTAAGTATATCAGTCTGATGCTCACCAATCAGTTTCACTCTTCCTGAAGACAGCAATGTGGGATCGTCTTTTTTGACATTATTTATTGAGTCATCTACTAGTTCTTTGATATGATCAATTCCTACAACTTGTCCTTTGGGACCAACCTGGAACAAAAATATACAGTTGAACAATTTCTGCTAGCTTTATTTACAGAATATATACTTCCTGACCTCATTTCTCTAAAATAAAAACAAAAACAGGAAAGTGGAGGTATATTTTCCCAATGTTATTAAAACTACTGTTAGAAATTACAAATTCTGACTGCTAGAAGCATCTGATAATTAAAGTGTGTCTGCACAGTTTTATAAATACTTGTTAGAGTGATGTTTTTGAGATGTGATTCAGTTATGTTATATTGTTAGTGGAGATTTTTTCTTGGAATTTTTAGAAGTTAAATTTGATCATGTTTGTTTTCATTACCTGCAATAAAAAGTAAAAACGTCAAGGACAAAGACTAGAACTGATCTCTTTTCACACTGAATAAAACTTACTAAGGATTAGGGTTCTTCATGATTTTTATTCAAAATCATCTTAAGATTCCTATTCTTTCAGAAGCAAATGCTGCAATTACCAGTCATGGACAAACTACCTTCCACTCATGCTTGCATTCATGAATCTGCTTTCAGATTTACAGCTCTCCTCCACAGGAAGACTGGAACTTCTGAGAGCTCTTAACTCAAAAAAGGTCACAAAATTTCTGTATTCTGAGAGGGGAAAAAATATCTACTAACAAAAATTTCTCCATTACAGGTATTTCTTCCAGAATTTTGTCTTTAGTCCAGAAAAAAAATTCAAAACCAATCCAAATCTTAAAAAATCTGACCACTTTTAACAGGATCCAGCTCAAAGACCACAATAGCACAGTATGTCCTAGCAGAGCCCATGTTGCCTAACAACTGTCTTTGGACACATCTAAATGCATTGTTTATGTTTCTGTATCTTACATTTTAATATTGTTAAGACATGAAAAATTAGTAACTGGTTATCCTGGGGATTTTTTTTGTTTTATTATGAACAAGTCCTATGTTAAAAACACTAAAAAAGCAGTGTTAGTTTTTCTTGTTTGAGTGGAAGACCATCACCCCAGCCTTTGAAATGGAGCAAGACACAGAGCAAGTTTTCACAATGACAGCCATGGGCTGCTGTTTGGAGGAATGCCTGGCAGCCAGCTGTACCATAAGCTGGCAAAAGATCCAGTATATTCCAAACAGTAACATCACTGAAACGAAAATTTAGCAAAATGGTCAGAACATGAAATAGCCTGATACAGTAAGAGAACCTCCTGCTGCATGTGACAGCCCATTATGCTATTTCTGATCCTCATCAGTTGCCCTATTACCCTGGAACTGTGAAGCACATGCAATTGAGACAACACAAAAAGGCACAATTTTTGGATCTCCATGTTAAGAATAAAAATATACCCCACTTTTTTCATAAATCCAGTACTGATAGGAAGAAAACTCTAATTAATTTAATTTGCCAGCAACCTTCAAAAGTAAATAAACTTAAACTTATCTACATAGCTTACAAAATTATCCCAGAAGTTTAACATGAAAATCTAAACAACAATCTTCAAGAAACTTTACTAGACTAAGTAAACATAAAGCTTTCCCAGAGGTACCACAAATGAGATTATCATCATAAGAGTAAAGCTGTCATCCATGAGCACTGAGGCACTTGTGCCACAAATGTGAGCTACTAATTCTAGATCTCAATTAGACTGAGAAGCAACATCAGCATAAGCACAAAAAGCACATCTCCAACTGAATTTTTGTGGCAAAATGCTCTACCATTAATTCCCATAATATACTTTGTCCTGGGGTGATTTTATGATGCTTGCATCCCCAGTCATCAGGATGTAAGCATCTTTCTTGAAAAAAACTTGAAAACTTCTTTCAAGTTTTTGTTACTGTTAGTAGTGCTATCAAGCAGAATGAAAGCATTTACTCAATTTTTCATGACACATGTCTGTAAGCCATTCCAATGCAAACAACCAAGGAGGATTCGTAAGAGGCACATGACATTCTTATGGCAAAAATAAAATAGAGGGATTAACTTCAGGAAATTTGGAAAAATATTTCCTTTTTGTGCTGATTCTGACTTCTCCAGAGCTTGTTTTAGTAGAAAAAAGTGCACAACTACAATTTAGCACATCCTATGGAAAATGGCTATTCCTTTATGCATTCATAACTTCAGAGAGAAATACATATAGCCTGGACAAAAGTTTTAATGCTTGTAGGATTGGCATTCCTATGCTAGCATTTGATTACTGACTTCACAGACCAAAAATAACAGGCATCCAGTTGAATTAAGTGCCATTTAAGTCTTCTTCTAAGCTGCAGTTTGGTTAACTTATTTCAACTACTATTTTTTTTTTTTCAGATTTTGCAGCTAACACTTAGAAACCTAAATACTTTTGCAAGTGCATTGCCCAGTCCTAAACACTCTCAGCTAACTCTTAACACTGGCAACAGAAGTGATTGCAGACTCAGACTGGTGCTTGAAAACAGAAAACTAAGTAGCAAAGAAACCTAAATGAGAAATTATCATATATATCAATACATTTCAAATTAACCTTGCAGAAAGACAAAACAAAAAATCTAGTTGGCAATTTAATGAAGGTCTCTGCTAATCATAAAGCAATTATAAAGCCCTGGAACAGAGAAAGAAAAACTTATTATATTACTCTTAATTAATCAGTCTAAGAAAACAATAGCTACAGCCACTAAAACCCAATTTTTTTAATCTTTTTTTCCCCATGTAAGATAGGGAAGAACACAGAAAATTTCTTAGGTACAGGTTGAATAACACAACTGAGATTAAGTTACTTGGCAAAGACGTAAAATTCAAATTAATATCTAACTTTAAAAAGGTTAAATGGATACTTATAGTTATGTTTGTGCAATATAACAAGAAAGCAATTCAATTGAAAGACAGTTTATTATATACACAAGATATTTTCCTGTGGAAATAAGATTCTTTTACGCCTCACTAAGCTCTCATTGTAACAGGAATGCACGACAATTTATCACAATGAGAACATTCACAGCCACACAAGATAATAAAATTTGAACTGTTCAAGACAAATGTCTTCCTTCAAGATATAAAGCAGCAACTAAAATTCAATCATTAGAAAAACCCCCAAACAATTCAAAAACCTTAAACTTCCTCACTAGGTGGTTTCTATCACCATTACACAATTTATTGGGCTATTTAACTTTAACTAACATCTACTATAGCTACCATAAGAAATAGGAACAGTCATACCCAGGAGAGTAAATTATTTTCTGTATAATATACTTCAGTCCACTATGAAGGATGGGTTTTTTTTGTCCTGTAATTCAGAGATACACTCTAGTCCAAGCAGTTTTGATGATCAAGTGATTAAACTAAACAACTCACCATTCGCGAAAAGCATGCCGTAAGAATTCCACTTCCAGATCCTACGTCAAGTGCTTTGGCTCCTTCATGTAGCTGATCAGATAGAAGTTCAAGTGCATATGCATGCTAAGAGAACACAGAGAAAATTTCAAATTATTTTAAGTGTCTGTTTTACTCAATATATGTTAATTTCTTCAGAGATTTTGGGAATGCCCTAAGCATTTCTGTAAGAAATTTCAGAATCATTTCTATTGCAAAAAATGGGGGGGAAGGAGTTAACTGCATTACATAATAATTGTTATTTCATTGGCTTCAACAAATTTCATGAGTGTATTTTTATTAATATTTATATACAAAGCCTCATCTTCTAGCACAAACTCTATTTATATATCAAGGAAAACACTATAAATCAGTTTATTTCTCCTCAGGTCTGGTGACTCTTAATATTCTGGCAGTATACAGCCAATAAAGAATTTAATTTATCATTATGCTATATGCATTGGAATAACCTGGTACAAAAGCTAGCTAGGAAGAAGGCAGCTCCAGAGCATCAAGGAAAACGGCTATTAAGATGACCTCCTGTATTACTTGCACACTTGCTGAATCAAAGAATAGGAAAAAGAAGTTGTCTCTTACAAAGGCAGATAGCCAGGCTCACGGATGAAATGCAGTAGTCTACAGACACAGTTGATAACTTTTGCTTTGCTATGTGGTGGACCAGTATACAAACTATGCATAGGCTGCACACTAAAAAGCCTTGTTCTTTCATGTTTCAGAGATTGCCACTACTACACTTTTCAGCTTAATCCATCCCACCCAGAAAATATAAATAATTAGAATATTCTCTGTTAGAACATTCTTTGTTAATATTGCTTAGAGGATATATTACCTTTTTGCTCTAACACTTCAAATACTACTAGTGCTAAGCATTGGAAAAATAATGACTTAAGGGACTTAAAATTTTGAAACATAATTAATACTTATTTTTCCCCTTAGCAACAGTACTTTTTTCATTATTTTCTTGAATAATATTGTTAACATCTCTATAAGAAATTCCTGGTTTTTTTATGTTGATAACCAGGTAAATTCTAAGCTAACTACAAGGTTTTTAGTCAAGAGAATCAGACTTTTACTGTGTTTTGACACCGTCCAAACATTGCAAAGACAAAATACTTGCTTCTATGCACCTTTTATCTCAAATAAAGAAACATAGAAAAATTATATCTGGGTTAGATGTATGCACTGAAATCCCAAGTGGAACACTCAACCTGGTCTCAAACCACTTGGCAAAAAAACTTGCAACTCAGTACAATGTATCTTTTTTCCTGTCCAAGGATTTAAAGGCATTACCATAATACTGTACTATAGGAATCACTGTCATTCACTCCTGAATTCTTGTGATTTTATATATTACAAAGTAATTTACAGTAGAAATATCTCCGGAAATCTTCTGGTTCAGTCCTATTTCAATACTGGGCACTTTAAATTAGGCTGCTTAGAACCCTGTTCAGTCAGCTTCTTTGCATATCAAAGAACAGAATTTCCACAAGATGCAAAGCCTGCTTCAGTGTTTACCTACCCTCATAGGTTTTTTTAACTCTAGAAACTGATCAGAATTTCCTATGTTGCATTTTTTTTGCCCACTACCCCTCATCCTATTACTGTACATGTGCAAGAAAAATCTTGATCAATATTTTTTACTTCCTCACAGTAAGCAGTTCACAAAAGTGTCACTGTAATCAACTGCTCATTTACTAGGGTAATTTATTAGGTAAATATTTACTAAGTAAATATTTTATTTCAAAAGCACCTGGATATTTATAAAATCACTATACTAATCGCCTAGTTTAAAACTTACCATGTGTGGAGCACTGATTGTTGCTTGGAAACCTGTAAAACAAGAGAATGGAAGATGTTCATTGTTGTTCAGACAGCAACCTTACAATCTTTATTACCTTGACTGTAAAGTGCAACACCTTCATTGTCACCCTCATTCAGGGTACAACATCCACACCCCAGCAGTTACACAGGTACTCTACATCAGAAGTGAGTTATGGTACCTCAGCTGAAAGCTATGCTGTGTCCACTCTGGACAGGTAAAAAAAAAAGGGTTTTATCCTTGATCTCCATTACAATCTCCATTTTGTCACTATACATTGAATGAATATCACATACTGAGCAAGTAGGCTTAATTCAGAAGAGCAGTGTCTCCCAAAATAACGTCATTCCTTTTTAGTCAGCCCCTGTGTAAAAACCTGAATTTGTTAGTTTGAGTTTCATGTAGTAGAGACCATAGAACATCTGGTGAACAGCCTCATGTGTTTTGCAAACAACAAATGAGAACACCTATAAGAATGGGAGGAACACTCACCTATATTTGTGTTTGTAAAGATACATAAACCTTTGAGTATGTATCTTAAAATACTTTCTCATTTACCTATATAACTAACAAAATCCTAATAAAATTCACTCACCATGTACAATTAAAGGCAGGGAGAAGATCAAGAAAAAAGAAATTAGCACATTTACATAGCTCATTCTCTTTTTTTGGAAAGATAAAACTGGGACCTGGATGGGAAATTTCTGTCCTATCAGTAGACCTGCCCATTGAAAGCCTATTTTGAAAGATTTCACATAATGGTTCAAGAAATTTTGCATTGGTGCCAACTGAATAATTTCTGTAAAGATAATTCTGTAAAGTCTTTCTGTAAAGACTCCTCAGATAGGGAATGTTTCTACCATAAACTGGATGTGAATTATTTTTAGGTATTTACATCAGTTGCACCACCACAAGTTGCTGTGGTTTGAAAAATAAACACATATTTACACATACTAATATTGGCTGAAAAACACCTCTACCTGATGTATCCAAATATGCCAACTGCATTCCACAAGAAATTGAAGCTTAGCTAAAAGATATGCCATTAATTGATGAAGAACTAAACAACCTTCCAAATTAAAAAAAAAAATATTTTCACATTCTTAACATATAAATGACAAAAGCAGGCACAGTTACACAAATGAAAACAATCTCAATCACTTCTACAAGATGCTCTTACCTATAGACTGCGGAGAGTCCATGTAGGGGTTGTATTTTGCATAGTGGCAACGGTCTGTAGCCAGCATTACTTCAAATACCTTGTCTGTTTTGATTATTCCATTTTCTATAAACAAACAAATATATAAAAATGAAGGCATTGTTTCTCCTCTGCAGTGCAGAAATCTGCAAAATTTGTTAACATATTCACAGCATTGTGAGAAATCATGTGCCTTACACAGATCTTACACTCTCAACCTCATCATACTGGCCATGGCAGGGGTTGGACTACATCATCCTTAAAGGTCCCTTCCAGCCCAAACCCTTCTGTGACACTAAAATTAAATCTGCAGTCCAGAGAGCAAATGGTGCTTAAGACAGGGATGGCTGAACAAGACTTTCCCAGCAGTTACAAATGCTTTCCAGGAACCACTCACAAAGATCTACCCCCTAGGAAAACTCAGCTTCACGCACATCTTTGATAAATCCTGAAAATAAAGTCAGTAAGAAATTAGTGTTACTATACACACCAAACAAGATAGACTTCATATTTCTAAGAAGCTATACAAGTAATTATTGAAAAATACACAAAAGCAAGTTAGAAATGTTAAGTTGAAGCATCATTGCTCAGTACTTTAGTTTCCAGATCTGTTTGTCCTGTGTTAGCAAAGAAAAAACATCCTTTTGTTAAGAAACTCCCACTGAATCTGAATTCTTATGCTGGGGCAGACTGAGGCCAAAAAGTGTTTATATCAAAACACTCTGAATCTTTTGTTCATTTTTCAAAGTAAAATATAAATGCACATGCATATAAAATATCAGAAGCAGCCATTTTTTCTTGCTGTTTTATTGAAGTTTTTTTAAACATTGTTAATTCTAATTTTTTTAAGTTCTCAAGAGCCCATTAATGAATAACAGAAAACTTTGGAAAACAAATGGAAGAAATTAACTAATTACTTGTACTAAAAGATTATATAAATTATAAATAACTGACATTTCAATGATGGATTGCTTCATTAACTACTTTCTTTAAATAAGGATTTATTTGCAAAATTATGCTTTAAAAGGAAAAAAAAACCTGATCATTTAGGCACCATTAATGTCTAACCCAAAACATGAAAATCAGATTATGGAACTTGTGTAAAATTGTCCTGAAGTTGCACCAGTGTTTTTTTTTTTAAAAACACCCCCCAGAAATGGGCCAGCATCTGCAGAGACTTTACTGACTGTTTACTGGATGCTCCAAACTACACCTATTAATGATGGGACTTTCCTGTCTTTTTTTCTTATCTACTATCTGTGTCCAGAATTAATTATCCTATATAACATAGACTTGAATTCAGAAAGGAATATAACTCCTCAGATCATATTCCTTTTTGGTCTGAAGACAAAGTATCACATAGAACTGCAAAACAAATGTACTATTACTATGGAAAATTTTAAGCAAAACAATACCATTTAAAAATATATTATTTTTGTAGAAATATTTCTATTATCTGGTAAGTGCCAGAAAAAGCATACACTCCACTCACAGTCGCCACACCTTAGATATATCCTGTTCTTTGACTTCTTTTTGAACTGAATACTACAGCAGTTCTAGTTAGAAGACATTAATTTCAACCTAAGGTTTTAAATCTGAGCCAGCAGGCATTTGCAGCAGTTCATAAGTTTACTTACTGAGCAAAACTGTACCCAAAAGAAAACAAACAAATCAATCCATTAATACATTGGCACTAACAACAGAGGATAGTAAGGAAAAAAAAGTTCTCCCTGACCACTAGAAATCAGTTGGATTAGTTGTATAGCAGTTCTGTGAACAAAGCACAGAAACAAAAGAAATCAAACTTTTAGAGTCTCATTAGGAATCACTAAGAAGTTAGTATCTCCAAATGAAAAATACTTTAAGTATAATAGAAGTGAGGAGATAAAGGCTCTAGGAGGCTGAAGGGATGTCAAAAAGCAGTAGCCGAGAAGTACTCACAAAAGGTCTAAAATTTATTTCTTTACATGCAGATTGGTGCATATATTCTAGAACTACAGGCAGCCATCTGCTCTTTCCTTTTATGCCTTGTGGAATAAACATGCAAAGAACAAAAAGAACAAGCTTCCAGCTTGGAAGTGCAACTGCAGGGCCCTATGGTAAGGCCAAGAACCTTCTCTAATTTCACAAAACTTAGCTCCAGTCAAAGTACATACAACTATCAAATAAGATGCTTACACTGACAGGCAAATTACAAAAAAAACCTTGAAAACAGAAAGTACTAATATTCTACAGATTTTGGGCATTCAGGATGCTCTCATTCAGCAAACAATAATGAGATTTGCTGACTGCTGTATTGTCTTTAATTATTGTAATCTTTTTCATCAGTAAATAAGAATTGAAGAAAATTACCTATACTCAGAACCTGTGGGAGAAGCTGAATCTGCTGTCAGATGTTTATTTCAATTATTGAATAATGCTCCGTCCTCAAAAAAACAACACCCTCTCAGCTACCCCCCATAGATTAAGTCTGCTTTTCAAATTTGCTTATTACACAATGGAAACAACATCAAATTTTAGGTGGGAATTAAGGAAAAAAATCAAGCCCTAAACAGTAAAGTCAATATTGTCTTGGTTGACATTTTTATTGTGTTGATAACAATAAGATTTTTTTTCTTAGTCTCACAGCTGAATATAGAGAAACATAGTAACTGTAAGGTACCGAACTCCAAAAATGTCCTTTATTTCCTGCAACAGTCAGTCCCAAGATGACCAGCTGCCAGGATCTTAATTCTGTCTGAAACATGTCTCTATCAAATTCTCAATTAAGTCCAGAAAACAAGTATATCCCCTAAAGAAGCCAATACAAGAAGCTTATTTGCAAAGAAAGCATTCTAATTGCATGCCATCTCTACCAAAAAACCAAAACTATAAAAAAATTAACTATTAATGAAATGCTAACTAAAACAATTTTCTAAATCATAAAATGAAGCTGTATACTGCAAGAAAATAATTCACAGTTAAATGCATAGTCAATATCCTTTCCAGTTATAATGTGCAAAGAAATCTCTCCTTGAGGAGACTGTTGGGTTTCAAGAATGATAATCAGTTTGTGTATTATCCTTTGCTTGTAAACACTATAATCAGATATTAAAGTGTTTACAAGCAAAGGATAACACACAAACACAATGACAGCTTGAAATAAAAAGTAAACTCAAATAAAACAGAATTATATCAGCACAACTTCCAAGCTTCAAAGGGCTGAAGCTGAAAAGTAAGTACTTAACAGTGGAGCACTGCCTGCCAAGTTCAAGAGTTACTCTGTGCAGAGGCTGTGGCAATGACAACTTGACATAATTGGAGCATGTTTTGAAAACTCTCTCTGGTCTGCCTCTTTTCCACAAATAACACCATGAAAACAGGAAAAGAGCTCAGAGCAGTCCTTGGACTTGAAGGTGGGAATATACCACTGTTGAATGTAACCTGGGAAACTGGGCAGCTGGCTGTCAGAGAGCAAGGAAAGAAGAGTCTGAAAAGGCACCATGGACTTGCAACAAATAAACAACCTATCTTTTTATTTTGTCTTTTATTTAGCAACAAATGCATGACTGAAGTGCTTATGTTTCAAAGAATTGCCTACCTCACTGATGGTACCCTGACTGTTGACCAAACACGTTTCTAACCAAACCACAAAATACTAGCAGTCAACATTTAACCCAACACTGGCTTCCAGATCAGAAAAGAGGATGTGTCACTGCCACATGATCCAGCACACAAGCTTACTATACAAACCATGACACCTACTCAAACTCCTCCTGCAGCTGACTTTATGTATTAAAAAAATCCTCCTGCAGATCCCAAAACCATTTACTACTTCAACAACCACAAGTAGTGCCACTACTTCAGCATCCACATAGTTCAGCTTCTTAGATTACTTTCTCCATAACCACTGCAGAATACTTCACTTAGGAAGATGAATTTTCAGTGAAACAGTGATATTTTGAAATCATACAGAGATCTTAAGGCATGATGCAAAGTACATACAGCTTTATGTTACAAAAGATTCATTTATGTAGATGGAAATGACTGATGTGACAAATAGAATGGTTTGGGTTAGAAGAATCCTTCAAGGTCAATAGTTCCTTCTTATGTTGGGGGCCCCAGAGCTAGATGCAGCACTCCAGGTGGAGTCTCACCAGTGCAGAGCAGAGGGGTACAATTGCCTTCCTTGGCCTGCTGGCCATGACTCTTTTGATGCAGGACAGTTTGCTCTACACAAACTTGCAGAGAGTGCACTTGATCCCACTGTCAATGTCAACGACAAAGATGTTAAACACCACCAGTCCAAGTGCCAACCCCTGAGGAACACCACTCATCACGGTCTACACCTGAACATAGAGCTTTTGACCACAACTATTTTGAGTGCTACCACCCAGCCTTATCTATCAAGTGGTCCATCCGTCAAATCTGTGCCTCACTACACCTGAACATAGAGCTTTTGACCACAACTACTTTGAGTGCTACCACCCAGCCTTTATCTATCAAGTGGTCCATCTGTCTAATCCGTGCCTCTCACTTTTAAAGAGATGGATACAGTGCAGGACAGTGTCAAATGACAGCCTCCACCTGACCCATAAAAACCAGCTAGCAGCTTTCCAGAGGAGAATGGGCTGGAAGAGAACCACAGCCTGATTTGCAAGCAATGTGAAGATTGTTGGTTTTAAGCACCTGAGCAACCGACATTTTTAAAGTCAAGGTCTTTTTGTTTGAGCAGAGGAAGAAAAAAGATGGGAAAGAATGTGGTTCAGTTAATAGAATTTTATTTATTAATGAGCATAGGAAGATTTCACTGTAAAGCATGAACACAAAGAAAGCACTTAGAACAAGAAGTGATGCATCAGCACCCTAAAATCCAGTAACAGACACTGACCTGAACCATACAAAGCTCTTTGTGCTAAATAAATTGAAAGTAGGTGTTTGTAAACAAGTGTTTCTTATACCACTCATACCTGCACATTTCTTGTGCTTTGCTGATAATTTAAGAGCTATCTGCTTCAAACATTCAGCTGTCCATCTATTTTTACTGTGATTTGGATTCACAATATCCAAACATTATCCAAACAGGAGGTTGCATACAGCTCACTGGA